GGAGAAATTGAGGTCATGAGCTACGGTTCACAGACTAAGGCTGTCGTTAAGAATGCCGATATGGCAGAGGATATGCAGCAACGGGCAGTTGACTGCGCCCAGGATGCCATGAACAAGTACAGCGTGGAGAAGGACATTGCTGCCCACATAAAGAAGGAATTTGACAGATTGTACAGTCCCACATGGCACTGTATTGTTGGCCGAAATTTTGGAAGGTAAGGTCTTACTTTTGCCCCTTCTTTTGTTTACTAAGCCCACCTTCTCATCATCATGCTTTCCATTTTCAGCTATGTGACTCACGAGACAAAACACTTTATCTACTTCTACATGGGTCAAGTAGCTATTTTGCTTTTCAAATCTGGCTAAACCATCTCTCTAAATGATAAATTCTACGTTATACAAAAACTTTACTTTCATTGACTTTTTGGTTCGAGGAAAGACTGTAAGTCCCTGGGAAATGAAAGAGACCCGAGTGGTTGAACAACGTTTTAATAAATTGTAAAAATTGTGAAGATTGATAATGATTTGGATAGAGTAAAGCAAGTGCAAATAAATTGCCCAACGCATGGGTTGCTACTTAAAATGAAGTAAGTACTATCATGCTGTTGATTGACAGGACACAGCAAAACGCAGTGATGAAAATCAAGCCATGGCGTTGAGAATGAAGAACTAGCTCATTTGAGCATTTAGCTGAAGCAAACTTGGTCTGGCCTCTGTCAAATTGTATTTCTGCCAGAACTTCATGACTGACTGCAGTTGTTGACAGCCAATCAAATCGTGCCATTTAATGGATTAAAATCCTTCCATTATTTAACAGAATAAACATGCTTGAATAAGTCAACTCTCATTTAAAAGGCACAAAAATGTATTTTTCCTCTTTTAGATGCTCATCATTTGTTTTAAACGAGCGTAGATCATTTTCATCCCATGAAAGATGATTGAGAGGTCATAATTTCAGGGCTGAGGCGTACTATTAGGACCTAGTGATTGAAGCAGCTGGAGGAAATGCCTGTTATCTGAAAAATAACTGGGGTGCATTTTTATTATTGAATTAGTGACGCACTTTAGTCTTTTTGCCTATCTGGTAGCGAGTTGGGCTTGAAAAAGGTAAAAAAGCGAGTGTAGATAAAATTATTACGTACACACGAGAGATGTATGACCCTTACCTATGGGAGGCCTCATTATAATCTGTCGGGGTGGGTGAGTATGAGGGTAGGAGAAATATCCACTCATTTACCAAAAATGGATTGCCACTGACAAACAAATTCAGTGGACTTGACTGGGCGTCGTTAAAGGTCAGACACTTGTGATTACAATGAAACAACTGCAGCGCTTTAACTATTTTGTTTAATTCTCGATTTTGGTAATTAACCAGTCAGGGCTCCTGTGTTGTGCCCCTATCGGATAGTCTTGTCTTCAAACCATGCCAGTAGCTCCAAGCTCTGCTGAAGGACGTCAATTTTATGTTTTGCTTAACTATTACGTCTTCTTCCATCTTGAGGGAAGTCCCGGGGTGTTGCACAAAATGAACGGAAAAAAAATGACAAATTCAAAGTGGAACGAGTAGCCAAATTTTGGGAAGGATATTAGCAATAAGCCAGTGGGTTTCACATACGATTGTTTACATTAGTCAAACACATACATAAACTGCAAGTAAGTACCGAGGCTAGGCTACTGTAGAAGCAAAATATTTTAGCGCAATATTGACTCCCCTTGTATATAAACTGTAGACAATCACAGTTTGATACACTTCTTTTATTGTGGGAAAGCAGAGACCATGAGTTATGGATCACAAAATAAGGCTGTCATCAAGAATGTCGACATGGCCGAGGAGATGCAAGAACGGGCAGTTGACTGCGCTCAAGACGCCATGAACAGGTACAGTGTGGAGAAGGATATCGCAGCACACATCAAGAAGGAATTTGACAAGGTGTATGGTCCCACTTGGCACTGTATTGTTGGCCGAAACTTTGGGAGGTAAAGTCCTAATCTTACCTTTCTTTAAATCCACAGTGTCGTATCATTCGGTTCTAAGATTTCTCTTTTATTAACTTTAGCTACGTGACGCACGAGACGAAAAACTTTATTTACTTTTATATGGGCGCAGTTGCCTTTTTACTTTTTAAATCTGGGTAGCAATACTCTTTTCTTTCTTTTTTATGAATTTGAAATATATTCTGTGCTGCGCTTGCCTTTACTTGATTCGAATTTGTAAACCACTTGAAGCGTTCTGGGTGTCAATCAAGAAAATAAGCATTTTGACCAGTTTAAAATTTCACAAATTGACTAAAAAATACTTAAATTTAAAGGTTCCAGGGCAAGTTATCAAATAAATCATTTTCTTGACCCTATCGTCAAGTAAACTTGTTGTGAATTGGTCAGTCACTTAAGGAGCTAAAAGTAAGTCGTCGCTGGATTAGGTCAAAACCATCGTTGGACTACGAAATACCCAAGATCCCTGGAATTTTCTGGATCGTCAAGTTATATTCCCTGTTGAATACCCTGAATGAAGGCAGAACTAATTATTACTGATAGGTCGTTTATGGGCAAGCGAAAAGTCTAAGGAGTCTAAATGCTAAAAAGTGAACCGCAATCAAATGTTAGTAAAATTAGAAAAAAAAATAGATAAATGAGTGTTTGATAAGGAAGAAATAATGGTCGAATTAGAATGAACTCGTTTGATGTCCAATGTGGGTTAATTATGGAAACCCTAGGACCATTTTAAAGGGTAGGACTGCCTAAATACTCGAGTCAAAGTAGGCAAAACATTGAGATGTACAGATCACGTAGGTAAAATGCAAAAGACAGAATGAGCTAGGCTGATCTCACGAGTGAAGTGGCCTTCAGATGGATGGAAGTGGTGTTAGCATCCACTTTTCATACTCGTCACCGGCAGTATGACATTAATAATAACAAGGTCAACACATATATATCCACTACTTGGTATTATAAAATTAGACTCAACCGAAGCTACCAACTCTTTCTTCACTTTCCATATACATGAAACCAAAACCAAGGAATCTTAATTGTCATTATAATCTGCCTCAGATGAGGCTGTTAACGAGAACGTCGACTGACCTAAGGACATGCAGCACCGTGTCGTCAGTGGCCCCATCAAGAAGGAACTAGACAGGAGTTACACCTCACTATGGCAGCTCATTGTAGGCCATGGTTTCAGCAGTTTATGTGTGTACTTACGGCACTTTTATACTTATGGTGTTAGCTATGTGGCCCTTTCCTTCATGGGCTAATTTGCAATTGTGCTAGCCAAGTCCAGCTAAACATCTGAGTAAAAAGTGTGGCTTCCTTTCTGCGTAAATTATTGCTTTTTTCTTGGTCTTACTAAATATCAGTTTTTTGATATCACCTTCTTCAGCTGCTGCGAGACAAGTGAAAGAAAAGAGAGCCCTTATCACTGTGAAATCGAGTTAAACTTGCTTTGTCATGTTCGTCAGCCAGACATGCGCCAAATATGTTGATTAAGTTCTAGCAAGATTTTATGACATGAGGGTCGTAGAAAATTAATGAATAGCAGAAAATACAAAGAGGTCTACCTTTATGGTACACCATTGCACACTACTCTGCTGTACATAACAAATGAAGGGCAAAATGAAAGTCTCTACATGCCACGACAATTGAGCAATTACTGAGACACTACAAAAAAAAAATTTCGCCACCTAGTGTCTGAGCTCCAATCACTGGGCTAAATTGAAAAGAGGCTTGAAGAGCCTTCCTTGCGTTTTGAATGACCCTAATTCAGATTTAAAATGACTACAAATTGACGAGGAAACATTATTGGAAATCAAGTACAATTCTGATTTGCACAAAATATTTCGGCGATTAACAGCAATATCGCAGTTAATCCTACTTTACCGCCGTTTTTCTGATGGTATTAGTATATGCCCCTTTCGACCACTTGAGAATGAATGAACGAGTTGGAGGCTATGGAAAAGTAATGGAGCATTTATGTGCATTAACCTTTACAAGACAGCTTTCCGCAGTAATAAGAAAAAAGATGCTTTTTCTGATTATTAAGTCTTTTCAACCGCAATTTTACTTTATACAATACAAGGCCTAAGGGTCGAAAACTGCCTTACTCGTAAAAATAGAATAAAAGCTCTTAAGGAGAAAAATCTTGACCTTTTGTAATTCAAAATATAGTGACAATATTAGCTATTTGTAGAAAAATTGAATCATTTGAAATAAAAACACTTTAGCTCTACAAGACCTTACAGACATAATTTAGAGGTGACTTTAAAAAAGTGCAGATTCAAGCATTTACATAGTGTGAATTTTAATGCGTCAAAACAAAGCAAGAAAAAAACGTCTGAAGAAAACCGTTGTAAAATAGCTCTATAAACCGGAAATAAACTTACCCTGGTAAATATTGTGCTTATGATTAGACAGAATTACTCCAAAACTAAGCACTTAAGCTGTTCATTTAAGTGTCAAATTCCGGTAAGTTATATTCACCCGTAAAAAATCCTAACATCCTAAATTAAAACTTAGGCATGGTCTACCAAGGAATGCCACAATTTTCCACCTTGCCTAGACACACTCATTTACGCATAAATTGTGGAAATCGTAATTTTACCTTGAGTAATGACGAAACAGGAGGCCAGGCTACTGTAAGACCTCTAGCTAATTCCTCACATGAGCCATCAATAGGCACAATTGAGTGTTTTTTTAAAAGGCTTTAACTCACACCCAAAATGGTGGAAATTTAATAAACCCTTTCCTTGCTTGGTAAAATGTGTAGGCGAATATCTACCGCCACAAATAGCAGATGGTTGTAAACAGCTAGAGTAGAGGTTTAACAATCAAGCTCTCCACGAGGCAGTCTTTACTTCAATTCGTGGGATATCTAAGCATTCATTGGCAGTAAGGACCCACGCAATCGCCCTTGGAAGTGTCCTGGACATCATTATCTCACAGAATTTGGCACCTTTCATGAATTTGTCCCCACATTCCTTGGACTGCATGAGAGGTTTTATACTCAAATCAAATTTCTGTGATTTCTCGTTGTGTAGAATAAAATCTTGTTAAATTCTTTCAAGTTCAGAATTAGTTACTAGGGAAGACAAAAACCCGGTAAATGGCCATATTTTCTGCTGTAATTTACAAGGACAACAAGTATTCATGTGAAGTAATTTTCTACAGCAGCAAACAACTGGCTGTCACGATTAATACATGCATGGATTTTTATAACTTTATCAGAAGATAATGCTATTATCGCATTTCGGAAATGGATGCAGCCTCTGAGCTTTAGAAGCTTCTACGAGTTCCTTTTCCAGAACCACTGAAACCTTCCACGACTAGCGCTTTGCTGAGTCCAACCCTTTTGCAGTGGATACACTTTGATTGTGGCACCATCCGAAGCGCAAGGTCGCAGCCAATCAAAACACCACGAGTACTCGAGAATAGGATCAACTTTTTGCCTATTTTACGTGAAAGCGGGCTGCTGAGGCCCGCTGTACCTAAAGACATTTTACCTCGTGATTACGTTAATTGGTCTCTAGCTAGCGCCTGAGCTCATACAAATTACCGCCAGTCTGTAACACTTCACGTTCATCCCAAGTTTTTCCAAGTAGAAAAAAAAAAACATGGGCATATGAAACGCTTTTGTGTTGCAAACTGGTGTGTTTATTTTAAAGGCCTCCCTACACTTCCACTCAAGTCTTCCAATGTCTTGTGATCATGGCGCGTCAGCGCTCCATACTAATCCACTTCAGGTAACAACAGGTTAGACCACATTGAATTGCACAATTAGATGCATCACTTCACATAGGCACCCTTGTAGTGAAGCAACGCTACCAGCGCTCATTTTTTAATAAATACTGTCGGAATTTAATAAAACATTTTTACTGACTACAACATGAGCACAGGTAGAGCAGTTGTGAAGAACGGTGATATGCCTATTGAGATGCAGCAACATGCCTTGACTTGTGCCAGAGATGCCATGAGTGAGTTTCGCATTGAAAAAGACATCGCTATCTACATAAAAACTGAATTCGATAAGATGTACAAACCCACCTGGCACTGCATTGTTGGTAGTAGCTACGGCAGGTGAGTGCTCTTACAATATTGCGTCAATTAGAGTGACTTTTTGACTCATCACCCTCCTTTTTTGTTTTAGCTATGTGTCACACGAGAGTAAACACTTTATCAACTTCTGTTTGGGTGAGGTTGGAATATTATTATTCAAATCCGGCTAATTACCTAGTTTAAAACAAGGAAGCCTTAATAAATTCTTATTGGATTTGAATATTTTGGAGTCTATCCTACTTTCTCAAGATGCCGCATTTGATCATGTGAAAAGATATATCAATACTGCTTGCGTGGGAATTAAATTCACTAGTTTTTTCCTACTTGGCAGCCAAAATCTTATACACCCATCTAGAAGTCGCTACTGAATTGATATGAGTAGGGTATGATGGGGCTTAGAGCAGTGTACGAAATTTAAGTAGATTTTATCATATTTGGTACCGCATTTCAAACCAATATTTTAGAGCATGTACGAACTAGACGAGTACCACTTAGTTTGCAGTCAGGTTTACTATTAAAGCACTTGATTTATTTAAGTACGCCTTTGCAAACTTACACAACTTTTATCAGATGGGCGAAATTGTTATGTCATACGGAAGCCCTTAGTGCTAATGATGTGGGGAGCTCGCCGTATGTGTAATGGCTGAACTTCTGGGGTCCCCATTTGGTTAATACTCTTACTTATTCAATAGCATTTTGGTGGCCCCACCCTTACCGTGATTATTGTTATCCATAGAGTGTATCCCTACGTCTCGTTGGTCAACTAAACGAAGATGAAGAATATGTAGAAATTAGGCATAAAAGTGGGGAATTTAACTTCTGCGCCGATTCTTCTGAAATGTTAAAAAGGGGCATGTTTTATGGGATTGAAGATATCGCCAGTGATTTCTAGGCCGTTCCCAGCTTCTCGCCATTGGCTAAAATAAGTCTAAAGGATCAAATGGGGAGCAATTTTTGAAAATTTTTAAAGTGTGCAATTTAACGATTTGCTTACTTCCAAGCCAATGGGGAGAAAGAGTGAAAATTACCAAGCAAATGAGCTCCACCACATTTGTCATCCGATGACAATAAACCACGGAGTACAAATTTATTGTTCTCTACTCATCTCGCCAATGTCAAAAAAGACGTGCCACTCATTTTATATGCTTTGTTAACTGACTGATTGATTGACTGACTAATATGTGATGAAAAATGTCTTTTGTGCAAAAGAGGATATGATTGGTTATCCAGAAACTGTCAACTACCCAATCCAAACTTCGAAGGTATTCACAACACCACCTACAAATGACCCTGCTTGCTTTGTGTATGCATGTGGTGTACTACAGGCGAAATTAATCACTTAGACCTTGCCAAACAATTGTGGCAGAGGTATACCTACTCCATATGAGACACATGCCACGCCAAAAGGTTAGTCAGGTCTTTCGAGCCACTTAAGCTGTAGGGCTGTCAGTTAAAGGCCACCTTCAAAGCAAAGTACAATCTTGGTGCATTGTTAACCCACTTTTACTCAATTAGACTTAAGGAGGAAGAAGGCCACCTGATTCATATAAGAGTATGAGAAGTAATTAATCTCGAGAGGGCTAGCGGACAGATCAGAAAAACCAGGCGTATGAGAAGGGCGGAAGCGGAGGCTAGGGGTCCGCACTTGCTGAAATTATTACCAGTCATGCGGGACCAATATCCTTCCCAACGGCGAATCTAAGCCATTGCTGCATGTTCTCTGATGCATCACAGATTCTACGCAGTCCCTTTGTTTTCGTTCACCATTGCAATTTTCCACTCGACTCCACGCCTTGGGAGGATGTAATTTTAAAGGTGTGGAATTGGACGGACTTGGACGAAGCATCAGTAGCTTAACCACAAATGATGCAAAAAATTTTGGTTTTCCACAAATCGAAATGCCTCTCCAATGATTTTTTGGTTTACATGATAAGAAAACAATTCTTCACTTCCTTGTTTTCTAAGGTGTGCCACTGTGGTAGATGGCTATTTAAAATCTCCAGCAGAGCCAACTTCAACGACTATAGGTTGGATGCTTTGATGGACTAGATCTAGCGCGTGGTGATTAAGCACGTGCAAGACATCTTTTTTTAAAATAAACCTGAATTTTATTCTTAAAGACAATCTCCAAACCTTTAAGAAGGTGCAAATTAAAGCCCCACTTTGCGGCAGGAATAAGAGAAGAAAATATTTTTTGCTAATGAAGGGTTCCCTTGACATAATAAACAATTAACCAGCTTTGAAGATCAAAATTGCCATCTGGTTCATGTAGAAGAATATAAAGTGCCTCGCCTCATGGGTCAAATAGCTAAAAGGGAAGATAGAATGAGGGGATGAAGTTGTAGCCTGGTGTACACATGTGATAGAAAAGAGTAGCATAGTCATCCAACCTTCCGAATTGACGGCCAACAACGCAGTGCCATATTGGACCATACGTGGAATCAAATTCCTTCTTAATGTAGGCAGCAATCTCCTTTGCAACGTTGAACTGGGTCATGGCATCTCGGGCGCAGTCAATTGACCTCTGTTGCATGCCCTCCGACATATCCGCATTCTTGATAATCGCCTTGACTTCAGACATCCTAACTTTGAAATTTCATTACCCCTAGAGGAATTCTTGCTTTATTTTGAGGGAGGAAAAAAGCGTGGTTTTATAGCTGTGGGATTTTGTACTGTAAAGTGAAGTTTCAGTAGCCTGCCCTCAAACAGCATTGTGAGCATAGGTAATGCAAAGAAATATTGATAGCTGTGTGAAAATCTCTAAAAGTTCTTTTTTTTGAAAATTTTCTCTTATTTACGAAGCCTTTGTTCCCATGTGTCAATTCAATTAGTAAGGGCTGAGCAGGTGATCTGATTTCGACTGACAAAACTTTTTTTGCCTGTAAGAAAAAGGGAATGCACAAAACCTCCTCCCCCAAGTCGCCTTACTGGCCCACTTAGAGTTGAGAAGAATAGAACCAAATTCCACATCTTTGATATTCCCTGAAGGATTGCAATAGAATGTATTTGTATACCTTTTGTGGAAAATCCATTGGCACGATTGCATACATTTAACCTTCTATTCATTGTTGAGGGTCAATTCGGGGAATATTCCACATTTGATAAACAACGGTACCTTCAACAAGGGTACCTGTGTTTCATTTTGTCTTCAATTTATCAAGAAAGGCGGAGGCATGCGGTCTTGTGGTGGTCTTAGCACACCAACACTTGTCTCGACTGATTCACTGATCCTAATTGTTTATCCAGAAGCTTTCTCTGCATACTTGGGGAGTTTCAGTGTACTAAGTAGATTGATCTCACCTGTCACGTGTGTTTGAAAGTCAGACAGCCAGTGAATAATTATGTCTGCAGTTCACCACACATGCCACCACACTCACAAGGCTAATGTGGCCTTCTGGTCATGAAGTGAAGTGTGCCTAGTAGATAGAGTTGCAAATGATTTATTTAATGGTGCCTCTTTATCTGTCTAATTAATGACCTGAGATGATAGTTCATTGCCATCAGTTGGCAAGAGTCCCCGTAAACATCAGAATCACTTATTCTAAGGCCCTTTTTTTTCTATCGCACACCGTACATTCTTCAACCATTTAAAGTAAACGCAGTTTGCGGGATGGGAAAGCGCCATTAAAATTCAACAAATTTAACTCACATTTTGTATAGTAGGGGCCAAAATAACTAAGTAGTAGCATACAGCTCAACGAGGATGCCGAGCTGACGTACTGACACGTATCAACTTCTGTTACATTATACATGCCTATGAGCAATCGCACACATTTCACGAGTACGTGGAGATGGCAGTTAGTCATGGACGCTTTGCCTTATAACAGTCTAGAAATAAAGCGCTTGATTCTGCCATCTTATGGGACAAAAAACTGCTCAAAATAAGAAAAAGTTCTGTAAAATGAATGACTTATCATAAAAATTCACCAATCAGTAATACTGATACAATTTCTAGCAAACTGAATTCCTCTGTAGCTATGTCTTTCGAGTCGTCTCTACAGCCGTAGTACAACGGACCGATCTACAGGTAGCCATACTACTAATTAGAAGCGTGGTCAGGAGATCAGTAGTATAGAACCTAAGGCTATAAAAACGGGATCCACGCTCAGCATAAATTGTACATTAAAAGATTGCATTTAGCCAAAAATAAGGAGTAGAATAGCAATGGGACGCAAGTATATGTGCTGACTTTCTTTCAAAGCCACCATGCTATAAGGGATCCACGTGGAGGTAAAAATCATACTTGACAGAAGTAGAGAGCTACTTTTCAATTGTATAATGATTAATGCATCCTTAGCAGAATTAACCGCAAAATATTCCATGTCTTTCAGTATATTAGGTTTTTCTGATGGAGGGTCAGTCATTACTCATATCTTTGGGAGTGTACTGAAAAATCACGGTTTAATATTCGTGGGATTGTGCAAAACTGGATGAAATTTCAGTAGCTCGACCTTATGCGTCCATGAGATCATAAAAAAACGCCATCTCTCATGAATGCACGAATGTACAAACATCCTAGAAAAGTGCCAGCCTTGAATTTTATTGAATTGGAACACCACAGACACGATTCTTTAAGCTGTACTGCATCAGGATACAGCTGTACCAAGACATTTGGTACTCTGACCACAGGCCGTTCTGTCTTCAAAATGTCTAAAACATACGGACAACTACAAGGAAGAAATTCTTCCCTCACAGCGGAATTTTGAACGAACGGACGCCTAGGTTTGACGCATGCCCAACTACAAGAACCTTGCGGTAAACAGCTAGCACGCAAGTCGGCATTGTGTGGAGGTGGTAAACCTTCCGTTAAATTGCAAAGGTGACCCAGTCGGCGGAAAAGGCCTGCTTCGTGAGACCTTCGGCCAAACCAAACGGCCGCCACACCTCCTCGGCTGATGCAATATTTCCAATCTTATATTCCCACTCACCCTACATACTAAGGTGCCTTTTACTGCTACAAATAGAAAGTACTGCAGTTTTACCGTCGAGATTCTACTATTCAGCCGCGATTTCCAAATTAATCCACTTTGACCGTCTGTAGGACCCAAGTCATCGTGACTTTAGAATAGTTTTCTGAGAAAATTACAGGAGTGGTTCTTCAGCCTCAACACCCCACTCATCATTTAATGCTAAATCTCAATTTTTAGAGCAATAAACTACTCACAATCCGACCTCGTCCAAGTTCGCAATACGAAACTGGCCAAAGCCCAGTAAGCATGCGACTTCACAAGCAAGGACTAACAGCAGTGCCTTTGGATGATTATAACAAATTAATAAGGAAAAATTCTTATTTGAACATTCTTTTCAGTTTAAATGTATATTTTAACAACAAAAAATTGAGCAATTTTTCTTGATAAATCAATCTAAAATCCCAAGTTGCAATCAGTGAATACGCCAACGATTAATTAAAATCCCCCACATAGCCTTATAATTCAAACATTTGCTTGCTAACTAATGGTTAGAAAGTTGTCACTACAAGTCTGTTCAATGCCTTTTTAAAAACCAAATTTCACAACATAAAAGTCACTAGTTTATCGTTTTCCATTTCCCTACCTGCTTTCGTATCCCTGGACAGATCACTTTTATTGACAAAACCGTACAAAAATTTGGGTTTCCTTTTTCTATCTTTTGCCTGACGTAAACTTTAAGGAAAGTGTACTGTTCATCACAAAAAAGCTACAAAGTTCTCAGTAGAAAAATTTCAAGTATTCCATTACTATTATTAGATAAATAAAACTTTGATGATAGTCTAAACGCACATATATTTATACAAGACTTAATTAACCAGATTTGTAGAGAAGAATTGCAACGTGGCCCATGTAGAAGTAGATAAAGTTGCGTGCCTCGTGTGTCACATAACTAAGTAAAGAAGTGAAACAGCTCAGTGAATTTTCAAGTATATCAGGCATGAGTGAATGTAAAGTGATAGCTCTTACCTGCCAAAGTTACGACCGACTATACAGTGCCAAGTGGGACTATACTCCCTGTCAAAGGTCTTCTTGAGGTGTGCAGCGATGTCTTTCTCAATGTTGTACTGATCCATAGCCTCTTTGGCACAGTCCACGGCTCTCTGCTGCATGCTCTCCGGCATGTCGGCATTCTTGACTACGGCCCTGTTTGTGCTCATAACGCTGTGCACAATGAACCACCGTTCTGATGACTGAAACACCGTTTTATAGTGGTCTGTGGTGACCTTAGTAGCCTTGCCTCAAAGAGTGAGTGTGGGTGGGTTAGTCGGCGTACGTATGCACATTTCCACATCTGCATATGTGCAGTAGAATACTGCCAACCACGGTTTCTGCCTGTAAGAACAGCTTCATTTTTCCTCCTCTGGTGCCATAACATATGCCCAAATCAGCGATGAATGGTAGCCAAACTGCAGACTGGATCACCCACCTAAGGAACGATTCTGAGTTTCCTAACACCTTCTCCTACAAACACGCTGAAGCACCAATTCAACGTGTGTTTAAAAAGTTTATCACCAAAACGGGTCCGTTTAAGTGGCAGCTCAAAAGATCATTTATTAATTCTACCTGTACAGCTTATTGTCGTGCCCACAAGAGGCATCAAGGCTGAGAGAACTACAGCAATGTTCACCTAAAAGGGGCTTAATCATCTGCCACCTTGTTTACTTTGTGTAAAAAAGGGAAAAAAGTGTGCTAGAGAGACCCATTGACATCAGAGGTTTTAGTCTAGACAGTTATTAGACCACAAAGGGCACACTCCATTCGCCATTAATACACGGTCCAAGCAACGGCTTCGTAATTGTAACGAAAATGGCTTAAAAAGTGAATTTTGTTAGCCTAGAGAATTCTATGGAGAATTGGGTACACATTTTAGTGAATAAAAGATGGATGTTCTAGAACGGCTGATTTAAACTTAGGTGGGTAGAAAGGCGATGACATCCTTGCAATTGGGCACCTAAGAATTTTATAGTTTCATCTTAAAAAATAGTTCTCATATATCTTATTTATTCGGCTGTACCTACCTTTACATAATGTCAATACACTGCCTTCTGGAATGCTGGTGAATGGCGGTGGGTAAGTGGAAATGCTTGTCACTGATGGACTAGAAGATAAGAAATTATTTTAGGGAACTGCGTGACTTTACATTATTCCCTAGAGTTCATGTGGAGCACTCCAAGGCAATATGTATGGTCAAATCTACTCTCTGTAGGCATTTGACTAGTAAAAATCATTTTCTCAGTCGAAATCGGAGATAAAATAAAAGTACGATTGACACTGATCATGCCACGTACCTTTAATCACACAAATTTTTCAGTGAATAAAAAGACACGGAAAAGGCGCACAGAAATGGGTGAATAAATCGTCAGACTCCTCATCATTCCATTTGGCAAGATCTAACCCACCACAATCACACCCGTCCTCTGTTCTCTTTGTGCATACACAATAAAGAAAATGAAACAATTTGGCCTCAGTAGACTGGCCTCAGAATATCCGATTACCCGGTCTGGGTGAGTAAGCTGATACCCTTTGGTGCTCACCCCCTGAAATCGCAGAATGTGGGTGAATTTTTCTATGGCCACTCGTAAATGTGGAGCAGGTACAAACAGGACCCATAAATCAACAAGTTTTTCCCACTACCTCCTCACATTAGCTCATTTTTAGGGATTAATAGTGTCTCAATAAAATAGCCTTCATGTACAGCATTTGTGATAGACCAGTAATTTTGTTGGCGTTTATTTGCCCATAATCGCAGTAAAGAAGAGATGTGTTAAATTAAAATGGAGAAATTTTTAAAATTGATTATAAAATGAGTAAACTTTAATAAATACTAGACTAGACAAAACCACCTTTAGGTATAACTAGCTGCCATGACTTGAGGACACTTCCAAAATACATACTACTGTTTAAAGATAGACGATGAGGTTGATGAAGAGATAGTAATATTGAGACAGATGCAGAGATGGTGTGATAGATAGAACATCAGTAATAACAGCCTACTTTGGATTTTGCCGGCATGTTTCACGTCTTGTCAAAAATTTATCGTTTCGTTTTAATTAGGTTCAACACGAAAAGGCTGGAGATTTTCTCGGTGAGAATCCGGGAAAACTTAACAACTAAGGTCGAGGTAGTTATCACCTCATCACACCCACTGATTGCAACCACCCACCCATGCATCGCAATCGTGCATATAGGGCAACGAGTCTGACACATGCGGGTTATACATGTTCTCAGTCTCGATGCATAGTCATGCCAGACCATCCCACTCACTGTGGCCCATAAGATCCCTCTTAGAACCAATGCAAACTGATGACCACCGACCCAGACGCCTGCCGTTCAACAGCCTACTCTAAGAACACTGGAGCCATCCTATTGAAATAAAACAGTATATGACTTTCAAAGTTGTTCACCACATTAAAGTAGTAAGAAAGCAGAGGTGAATTTTTAGATGAATTTACAGACCGATACATTATCTTTTTGAAAAAAAAATTGACTGCGTTCATGTTATCAGTAGAAATTGCATCCAAAATTGCAAAATTCGTGCTTTTTTAGGATTGGTATTTAACAGTAAACTCTCCATATAATGTGATGGTGTACTTATAAAAACGGTTTTGAATAACTTTAAATTACCCGTCGAGTAATATGAGATTGTCTTATGCAACAACAAAGAAAATCAAGCAAAAACGTTAAAATTTACTTAGAATTTTGCAATACCACAACTTTTCTTCCAAAATATATTTCCAAGCATGATGTACTGCAAATTTTAAGTTTCGCAATTCTGTACAAACTTTTATCATTTTAAAAAAACTATGTAAAACTTTGCTGCCTTCAAAGTTTTATTTTTTAGCCCAAAACATCATTAGCTATTAGTAACCTAGATAAGCATTTATGTAAACCAATGCTTCGCCAAGGTAACCAAATTAACTTGGCGCGCCCTTTATACCCTGAACTAGAAGAGGAAAATAACTTAGTCAAGATTAATTACTGTTGTTACAATTAGAAAGATGCAATATCGTAGTAAACTTTGTTTGCGTAACGCAAGATTGCCCCTAATTGCCTTTTTTGCGTCTTCAAATTTCTTTTTCACCTGTTCTGAAGGTGTATCGCAGCCATTTTAATCCGCAAAAGTAGTTGCGCGTTGTCTTCTGACTTTTTGTAAAAGGTTATAAATAATAGAGATAGAAAAGCCATTCTTTTGTAAATTTGCACTTGGACTCTTGATCCACGCTTTTAATTGACCGAAGCAGACTTAATGGGATGGATGCTCTTGGCTTACCATTTGGTACCTCATGTTATCTGACGGTAAAACGATGATGAGGGTACTGTCTATTAAACATTTTTATCCTAAAGTTACCCACATGGCATAAAGTGAATAAGAGAGGAATCGATACAACTCCCTGCTGTAATCCCTGCCACATGTTGCCCATTTATCATGGATATATAGATAAAGGAATAAGCTTACATATGTCTAACTTGTCAAAGGAGAGCTTATATCTGGTTCCACTCACTTTTATGTAACTTTTGCGTTTCAATTGCCTTTTTGATGGGATTGTCTAATGGTAAGAAATGCAATACTCACCTGCATAACTATCACCTGATGAATATGGTGGGTGAGAATGCGGATTTAGCAAAGTATTTTTTGTTTTCCTTTAAGGTTTGGTAGTGATGTGATAAAGATCTTGCACAATCTTGTAGGGACAGTGGTCTTTCGAATGACTTATAAGATAAAGATGCAAATACGGCTATCATGGACGGAGCTGGTTGTAAAAGGAATGTTCCCAGCAGATAGGTGATAAAATGAAAAGAAATTCCCCTTTTTTGTCTATTTTTACATTTACAATATTTGAACTTTTTCCTTGATCCCTCAGACCATGTTCATGTAGGCTTATTTTAAAAGCAACATCCCTCTTTTCTCTGGTATTGATAAGTGTGCCCAGCTTTCGGTGTCATATTGCAATGTCAAAATCTTCAAGCATACCACCTTCTGATTCGACGCAGCCTAATTCACATCCGTGCTTGACATTTTCCTGCAAGATTTAGGCAGTTAGACTTCATTAACTTATTCTCACTATTTGGATGGATTTCGGAGTCATTTGTGAGGGCAATTTGTAACCCAGTGCAAGCCGGCGTCATGGCATTTCATTATTCGACATTCCACAATCTATTATCAATCCAATCTGAATGTTTTAATAATTTATTATTTCATCTTGTAAAACATTAACATTTCGATAACTTTGACAGTTGAAGGGCAGTTGTGATAAGCACAAGCGAACATGTGACAGGCGGCTGTATACTAAAAGTGAGTAGTATTAAATTTTCTTCTTATGCTTTACTGCTGCGCAAAGGGACATTAAGTTGAGTTCAGTCTATTTTCCCATCCAGTTTTCAATACCTCCTCCACTATAAGCTTCAGTGTCATTCCAAACGTCCGTCACCCCTTAAGCTTGCTCATTTCTCTTCCTTATCCTCAAGCATTTGACGTCGGCATCCGCATTTCTACTAGCTTCATTAATCGTCCTGACTGAGTTTAGGAGTCAGGGTGTTTACATCCATGCTCCATTTTTACTTTTCCATCTTTGGCTATCTTAATATTTATTCTATACCATACTATGTGTCAAATATATCCTAAGAGTAGGTAAATTATTTCATTCCATTGTTGATGACACGTGGACAAAACTCCATTCGAATAGTGAAGATGGATTTTAGTACGTCCACAAATAATCGTTAGTTGCTAACGGAAAATCTCTTTGTTTAACATTATTTTTTATCAAACCTTGATATTATCCATTTTTACTGGAAAGTCTAACAGGTTTAGAGGTAAGTGTTACAGATTTTGCCATCGAAACCCCGCACCGTTGGCATTAATGTTGCTAATTTCTTTTGATCATTTTCATTTTATGCCTTATCGTCCAAGGGACTGGTATACAGGACTCTCGGTAGGCCATTAAAAAACCCCATAATAGTTTTCCTTTAGAAACAAAAGCTGTATATAATGGAGGAAAGTGCAATTAAATTGCATTTTGGATTGGATGAGCACAGATTTGCAACGCGGTCTCTCGTAGAAATTCTCACAGAAGAATCCACCATATCCAAGTGCATTGCTTTCCATCCTTTGAGGATACACACTAGCATAATGTTGAGGGTCTGCTAACATTCCATCATC